TTTTTACTCAAAATGTTGTGTACTCTATTGCCTTAGCTTATCGTAAGCCACTCAAAACGGACATTCCTACTTTTAATCTTTATCGACCATCTGAAGATGGAGTACTTGTTGAAAGAGATCACTTCATCTGCTTCTGAGGAAATTTGGTTGGGCACACAACACATGGGTATTGGCAAAAAGTAGTGATTGAGGATTTTCTTTCGTATTGTTTGAACTGTCGTATGTTCGACCACCCCATTTCTCAATGCTACCATCTACACCCCCACCTCAGACCAAAAAAACATAGTGCTTCACCAGAGGCAGTGAATTCATCTCCAAGTTATTGACACTATTGATCAACAAAAGAATACATCTAAAGACATTTCTATTCTCATAGGCAATATGACAACCATTCAATCCACACGCAATGTTGTAGCTCCGCCGTCTTTGGAACCGCCTATCGTGGGGAGAGGGAGATTCTTCAGACTCCATATCCCCTGGAACCTATCATCAATATTACAGGTGTTAATACTTCTACTGCTTCACTACCAACTCATCAGGTCGAACGAGCTGTTAATGTTACTCAGACTCATGATGATCATGATGTGCATAGCCTACACCTGTCCGACCAACTTTAGAACAATTTGTTGATCAGATGAGGAATGACAGATCTACACATCCAGGGGGAAGAAGAAGAATGGAGACCTACTTGAGCTTAGGAATCTGATGGATGAAACTTTGGTTACTTCGGGCAATGATACTCACCTTACTAATTTGTTAGCCGGCTCACTTCCGAGAACTAGAAACAGAGGGAGGACTAAAATAGGATGTACCTAGCACTTTTTCGCCATTTGGTGGCTTTTTGGTCTTTTACCTTTATGTATCTTTGTTTAAGCAGAAACATCCCAACGGCTAATACATTTGTGCCATTTTTGTTTTATATATATATATATATATATAACGACATCATCTACGGTCGAGAGCTCTTCTAGGGCTTCCAATGGCAATTTCGGTTTCAATTGATTCTACCACAGGAAGGAAATAACCTCGCATCGTCGACTCTCGCTCCGTCGTCTAGCTTCTGCGTCTACGTCGGTGTTGACGTTCGCTGCTCCCTGTCGCGGTTCGCATCGCGATATCGCTCACTACTCGTGTCGTCCTTTTCCTCGATATGCTACACTGATCTTGTTCGATATCACTCCAAGCCTCCGTCGCTCGCAGCTTCGTCTTTGCGCCCGACTGTTTGGTTTTCTTCTGTTTCGGCGCTGCTCTTGTTTCTGCGCCCGACAGCTCCTCTGCCTTTCAACAATCTCACAGCAGTTTAACGCCGATAGCCTCTGATGGTGTTTCCTTGTTCTTTGGTTGAGCCGGACAAAGTCTCCTTTGCTCATGTGGTGGTATCTCCTTAAAGTTATAAGGGATCTCGTGAGAGTATAGATGATTGTCCTTTTATTAAGAACGGAAGTAGGTAATCTGGAAAAGAAACAATCTTTTTCTCTGAATAATCTACCCTGACGGAAAAATCCAAGTTTGCTCTTAATAGAAAATTTCAGTGGGGACACCCTCTTATGAATGTTATCGGAAAGAAGGTTGATGATCTTAAGCTAATAGACAAGTGGAAAGTGAGACTCATGGATGAGAGACATATGTTGATCCAACTAACAATGGCTGAAGACTACACCATAATTTTCTTCAAGAAATATCTTAATATCGAAGACAAATCAATAAAGTTACTCAAGTAATCTCCTAATTTCGACTCAAATCATGAAACTCACACTGTACCGGTATGGTTTAGTTTACATGATCTCAAGCTAAATTTTTTTCACCAGGTCATCCTTGGGGATCCCTTGAAACTAGATCTGCCTACTTTAAACCTAACCAAACCCTCGGTGGCAAGAATACTTGTAAAAAAGAATATTACTTTACCTGATGTTACTGAAGTCTGGTTAGGCACAGCCCATAATGGTTATTGACAACAAATCGTCATGGAACACAAACCCCCATATTATACTCACTGTAAGATGTTTGGCCATATCCTTACTAAATGCCACAAGCATCATCCTAATTTGAAATCTAAAGTTCAAGTGAATAAGGATGGGTCTAACCCCTCTCCTATGGACATTTTAGTTCCACCTGAGAAGGATACTACCAGACAAGAGGTGCCTATTGCCCCTAAGGACTCCCTCCCCCATGACACTGTTGTTACTGTTACTGCGATGCGGTGCTGGCATCTACAGACTCCATTGGAAAACAATATTGCTGGATTATTACCTATAAATGGGAGTGTTCAGACTGATAATCAGGAGAGCCTCGCAATTCCACTTCTTCAAGAAGTATCCGGTGTAGAGGCAACTCATACTTCACATAATGTAGAACCTATTGTGGGTATTACTGTTTGTATTCCTTGTACTTCAGCTCTAGACTGATTCTTCGGAGGAGGAATGATAGGTTTACACTTCCAGGAGGAAGAAGAAGAATGAAGATCTACTAGAGCTCAGGAGTCTCATGGATGACACTTTGGTTACAACGGGTAATGATTAGCACCTTACCAATCTACTAGCTGGATCCCCATCGAGAACTAGAGCCAGAGGCTAGACTAGGTTGGGATGACCCACACATTTTCAGCGCCCGGGTGATTTTTGGGTTTTTTGAATTTATATATGTACCCATCTTTTACATTTTTTGGTGTATGTTGTACTGTGTTGGTTGAGTGTTTAGGCCCACCCATACAAACCTATTTGTACTTTTTTCTTTAAGTGTACATATATATATATATATATATATCGCAATAAAAAATAATGATATTTCCCATAAAGCCATTAAAGAGATGAATAAAATTTCAACTATGAAGTTTTATTGGCAAGAAACACCAATCCAAAGCGCGGCCAAAAAAATTAGAAACTTCACCATCCATCATAAGAGTTAACCTTAAGTTTGGAAAGTAACCGAGGCAAATATACTTATAAACTAGTTGAGCTTGGTTTGATGAAATAAATCATTAGCTAAGTTCAATAACAAAAGAATCAAGCGTGAGCCTACTCAAACTCAGCTCTTCGGCATGTGAGTAAACTTATTTTAAGAAAATATTAATTAAAAACATATTTATAAATAATTGATTCAAGCATTCAACTAAAAATTTGAAAAACAAAATACAGTTGTCGCCTTCATTTTCTCTTAATTTCTCAAAATTTTCAATTTTTTCTATGGTTTTAATGTCATAATTCTTAGATTGGTTTTCATCTTATCCTTCATATGAAAATGAGCTAGCAGGCAAGCAAGATTAAAATTGTGCACAAACAAAAGTGCCTTGAGCTTGATTTAATTCATTTATACCCCTAACCCCACCTGCTTGTAGTCAGCTTTTTGGGGTTCATTTATACCCCTAACCCCACCTAATTTTAGTCAGCTTTATGTATCCCCATTTTTTATTCATTCGTATTTTGTATTGTATGAGGTATTAAAACTTAATTCATAAACCATTTAAAAAAAATAACATATATTACCATAGTTGCTCATTTTCTTTCATAACACTTTTTTATTAATCCTATCTACCAGTCTATAATTTATGTCACAATCACCAATATCTAATTTTGTTGAAAAAATTGAACCTGCGACCAACTTTCTATCAACAAATCAGGTATCAGTGGACAATAAATTTCCATCTATGAAAATCCATATAACAGCAAAAGCCTCTCATCTACAACACTCCAAAAGTCTATTAATAATAAGCTTTCCATCTATCTACAACAATTATCAATTCATGGATTTTAACATTCATCTACAATAATACAACAATTAGCTAACAACAATAATCCATTTCTACCATTCTAGAATTAAAAATTAATTTTCAAATTTATCTTTTTCATTGATTGTTGTTTCTCCCATTATTTATGTACAAATTTTCATTTTTTACATAACCAGATTCAGTTGTAAAACCCCTCCATTTCCCATATCCTCTTTCCCCATCCTTATCTTTACGAATATATGAAAGTCAGTAATGTTATACTCCCTGTGATATCCGACAGGTCTTTCAATAATCTTTCCTCAAATCTGTTGAATTCTTCAACACTGAAAATGAATCTGTCTGATAGAAGTAGTGTGAATATATGTGAAGGATCCACCAAAAAAGGTTAATTGCCATAAAGAAGCTAATAGTTATGAAAGTGGCAACTATAATACTAGAAATCAACCTTAGAATAAAAAATCCAAATCCAAAACATTGAAAATCCACAACGGATTATTGGAAAGAACAGCTTCAAATAGAAATTACACAATGACAAATCAAAATAGCTCTCTCCTTTCCTTTGCAGCCATCTGAACAACAAATCAAAGATAACTATTCTTCCAATAGAAGCTTATTCTAAGACATCGTATCATATTCTTTCAATGAATACAAAAAATTTACTATCCGGTCAGCAGACCCAAGAGTATCAAATCATATGAAAAAAATATGATCCACAATTACAGTGTGTCATGGAAGTTATAATGTACGAATTACATATAGATCAGAACAGGTTAGGTCACTCTCTCAAAATACTTAACATTTGACTCCACGCTTTTTAGTACCTAATCAAGATTGCAACTTATTATCAATTAGTAAACTCTATAGAAATAGTTGTGTTGCTAATTTCTCATATAATCTCACTTTCAAGACTTAAACTTTCACTCATTCACCTACTCCCTCATGCACACACTTAAGAAGTTATATTTTGAAGTGATGGAAAGATTCAAGTGTTATAAGTTTACGCAGAAGAATTGTGAGATATGTTTATAAGACTAATTGAGTATGTTTAACAAATGATCAAGTTGAACGTCTCAATAACGTAGTACCAATACAAATATAGGACATTAAGAATTAGACGAAACTACAACATACAATTAAACATCTATATGTGTGATTAAAAAAGCTTCTTACAAAGTCATGGTGATAAGAATGTTTCAAAATCTATTTGGATGAAAGAAAAAAATGAAGTTGTTAAACAGAAACAGAGAAAGTTAACAAAGTATGGAGATATATATACCTGGGCTATCTTCACAGTGCGAATGGCTTCAAATAAATTTGGCGCAACAGAATGGAACAACTGAAATAAATGATACCAAAGTGAAAACAGAATTTGGCTGAAAGAAAATGGTTAATCATCGATTATTACCTCATCAATCAAATATGTTGTATCAAATGAGACGGCAGTTTTATCCAAACTGGGTTGCAGTTTCAAACAAAGCTCTTTAACTGACGATAAAACTGACAATTTGACTGTTCAAATTCCAAATACATATGTATCAAAAGTCATGTTTGATTTTGTGCCACGAGAAATGTAATATTAGAAATAAAACACAGTGGAAGAGTACCAGTCCAATTAAATCCAGGTAGCATGAAAGAAGTAAGGATATGGATAACTCTTTCTTTTTCTTTGAGGACATCCTCTACTCTAGCCACATGAATACAAGCTGTAATACAATCCAGGACCTTCTCAAGCGCCAGACTAGAGTCATCAATAAGTTCATTATCTAAATCAAGAAAGTTAATAAAAGTTAAATACAGCAATTAGCCAGCGCACACCCAAAACAAGCACAGAAAGTATTTATTGTATATAATCACATGGTGCAAAATGGAGCATCACCAAGGCAGGAATCTTCTATGAAAAAAAATTAGCATCCAAAGATAAATGTAGCTCATTAATCAAAGAAACTAAAAAATAATTCAAACCGATTTTGAAAATATTTGTTTGTTTCACAGCACGTAAGCATGACTATATTACATGCAAGTTCTATTTGATGATGTTTGTTCATGGTTGTCAACCTCAAGAGAGGTCAGGAGAGAGAAAGCTAGATAGATGAGAATAGTTTAACAATTAAAATATAAAAAATGAGAATTAGGTATTTCCCCCACCTCATAAAGTGTGAGGTAGAGCATTAACTCCAACCCATGTTGAGTGTTTAAAAAAAAATAATAATAATAATAAAAGATCCAATAATAACATTCTTCATGTAATTCATCTTTCAAGTCAATAGATGCTAAGTATATGCTGCTGAAAAGATTTACTAGATTCAAAATGTTAGTTATCAGCAGACATTTTATCTTTATTATGCATTATATTCTCTTAATTAAAAACATTCTTAATATTATTTCCTTCATACCGCACATATTGTATTTGCCTATACATAGAAACAAGTTGCATGGCAAAATCAATCAACTCATTTTCAATTATTTATCTTTCAACATATTATCAAAACCCGGTTAGGGCATACCGACATTTTTCTCCAGCCTGCCCTGCCATTGACTTGACTTTCTATGTCGTGTTAATCACAATATGGCTTCCACTAACTCACACGTCACATAAAAAACTTGCATTTTCCTGCAGCCAAACACTTTCGATAACTAATTGCAATCGCAGTCACTCGCCTCTCATGCTTTGCCACAATTCCGCACCCTTGCATCATACACTTGTCCCTTAACCATGCCCATTATGCACTTGCACCCATTATTCACATGCTATAACACCCAACGCCAAGCAATTCTTGTGCTCCACCTTGACGCCTACCTGCTGCACCCACTTGTGTTTTGCTCAATACTACTTGTGCTTGCTCATATGTATCTGTTAACAATCTCCTTCCAGCTTGCTCATTCATTACCATGCATGAGTGTTGCCTTAGATATATTCACACTGACTCAGAGAATCCTATAAACTCACACCGACTTAGATATAGTCTCTTCCATGACACCGTCTTCTGGCACCACCAAAGCCAATTTCACTACTGCCTTTCTTATAGCTTGTAGAAATGTGGCATGGGCCACTAAAGTTCTTATCTTAGCCAGGGTACCTATCACGGCCGACTCCTTCAAAGGCAGAAGTATAATACACTTCCTATCCTTGATAAGTGAGTAGGTGTTTTTCATCATGAAGTGTAATCCTATCTTATTGCCATGGTTTGCCCAAAAGGATGTGACACGCATCAATAAGCACATAACACCAAGCTTGATTTTGTAACTTATGTCCTCTAGAAAACTCCACGACACATCTCTTATCAACTATGATCTTCTTTTCTTCATTCAAACATGACAGATTATGATTGGGAATACTTTTGAGTAGTGAGGCTCAATTTATCCGTGAATAGTGCATATTGTATTAAACAAAACAAAAAGTATAAAAAAAAATACAATCTATGTTCCGTGGACAATAACACAAAAATCTCAATCCACTTAAAGAAAAAAGAGGAGCATGATCATTAACACACGTGAAAACAAAATCACTATCTATGGCCATTTTAGCACAAGTATGAGCTGCCTTGTTGTTGCTCTTGAAGGTATGTTGAAAAATCACTTGATTAAATCTGCACAAAAAGTCATAATTTGGATTGTTGGGAGTCATATACCACCATGCTTGCTTGTCCATGGTCTTCCGGAAATGGTCTATGACATCAATGTTGTCATCCAATCTTCAATGACCCCTTGGAGGTAGAAGATTGCCATCATTTCCACTTGTGTGCTATCCCAATGCAATATATATACAACAACAACAACAATAACAAAGTTTTATCCCAGTAAGTGGAGTTGGCTACATGAATCATTTTTCTCCATTGCATCCTATTGAGTGTCATATTTTCATTTAATTATAATAAATTAAGATCATTTTTTATACAATATGCCCAAGTCTTTCTAGGTCTACCTCAGCCTTTCTTAACATAAGTCAAATCTAAAACATCTACTCTTCTAATCGCATAATCATATGGTTGACGTTTAATGTGACCAAACCATCTAAGATGGCTCTCTCGTTTGTTCGCCACTGGAGCTACAACAAACCTATCACGGATATATATGTTTCACATTTTGTTTCTAATTGTAAAGACACTCATCTACCTAAGCATTCACAGCTCGACAACACTAAACTTAGTTTTATGCTTTGTTTTAAAGGCCAACATTTAGCGCCATAGAGCGTTCCATGTCTCAGCACCATCTTATAAAATTTTCCTTTCAATCTAAGCGGTACTTTTCTATCACATAACAGGATCAAAGCATTCCTCCAATTCAACCAACCAAGTTGATTTCTACTAATAACATCTCCATCTATATCACCATCACTTTGAACAATAAACCCAAGATATTTGAAACGTTCACACCTTTTAATAATTTGATCACCCATAGTTACAGCTCTGTCACTAGAGCAACTACTACTAAAATTTATATATATATATTCATTTTGGTTATTACAATCTCCCCTTTTAAAAATTTCATCCTCGAAATTTGCAAAATCTTATCCAAGCCTCAAATCACTTCTTATCAAGCAAGTAAAACTTAAATTATCCATAAAATTTCATTAAAAACCTTATTTCTCATTCTATAAGATGAAAAGTGGATAATAAAAGTCTGGTGCAGAATAACTCAACTGAACTTCTTCCATCAACTGAAACAGTGTAACATCACACCTGAAGCAAGATAACATAACAGCACAACACACAACTACTAATAAAAACGTACACTAGAATTGCAGTCTCGAAACATAACACTTATCAATCTCTAGCAGTAGGTTCTTCAGGCGCTCAACTAGTACGAGAATAAACTCGAGGTCGAACTAGTTTTCCTGATTGAACTTGAGTAGGAGCTGAAGTTGTCGACTCTATCCTTATCCGCCCACATGCAATCTTCTATAAAGGAGCTCCAACTGATTTCTTCTCTTCTGATGTTTTTCAACGAAGTGAAGGGCAATATCTGGCTATGTTACTAGGATGACATGTATAAGAGCCCATTAAACAATCACCCTTATGTTGTTTTACACATTTGGCACATGTGATTATAATGCTACAAGAATTGTCACCGTTGAATCTATCAAAACTGAATTTGGGCTTCTTCACATACATTGAATCTTTCTGATTTACTCATATTCTCTTTTTCAATAACAATCTTCCACTTGTGTCTCTTCATGCTTCTGAATAAGTTGGAAATCAATCTCAACTTGTCTAGTGCGCTCCACTAACACTGAATAGTCGTCAATCCCTAAAGACACCAACAACCGTTTGATTGAATCCTTTAATCCCAAAAAAAATTTGTAGCACTTCTCTTCAATAGTTGCTATCAATTGTGTAGCATACCTATACGGTGCAATATACTCTACTTCATATTGTATGACAGACTTTTGTCCATGCACCAACTTGATGAATTTGTCCTTCATCTATCTACCAACAAATAAAGGTACAAATCACTCCTAAAAGCTCCACGAACTCCTCCCAACTTATCATCATGCTGGTTACATCCCCTAACAAGTTCTGACACTGCCTACATCACCACTTTTTGGCTTCTCCATCCAGAACAAAATTAGCTAAAGGTACTTTCTTTCGTCAGGGCACACCATAATATCTAATATCTTCTCTATCCTTATTAGTCAGTTCTCCACTTCAATTGGATCTTCAGTTCCCTTAAACAAATGTGAACGCAAATCTTGAAATATTTTCAAGTACTTTTCCACAATAATAGTCTCACCTTCACTAGAGGGCAGTCTAGACTCTTGAATTAGCTGAGTCATGACAACCATCATCTGAGTTAGAACATTTGTATTAATATTAACATCAAAAAGTACTTCATTTTTCTACCAAATTCCCCCTTTCCTAAATCTCGTGAGTATCAATTTGCTAGAATTGAAATAATTAATAAATGTAAACTTAAAAATGATTAATAATATCATTATTATTATAAAAATCCTATTGACTTTTTGATAAAAATTACATTAATTAATCGTGATCTTAAAGCTTTCTCCTATACCACTTTTGTCACGACCCAGAACAGGTTTTCGAGTTAACCAAGACGAGTACAGACGGTTGGACGGTATTATCAAATCTCAACAACTATCGTTTTAATAATGAAAGAGCCACTAATAAAAAAACATAATTTAACCTTTTGGACCGGTTGTGGGCGAGGAGGGATTCGAACCCCCGACACCGTGATCCTCTGAGCTACAAGCCCCACCCCGTCTACACTGGATCTGTTCCCGGGAGTACCTTCAAAAAGAAACCTTTCCTCTCCTCAGTCATTTCGGGTTAAGAAGATGTGAAAGCTCCTTTCTCTCTAGAATAATAGTGCGTTCCGAGGCGTGAAATGGGAGAGAAGGGATGTTCTTGAATAAGACGACCTTTGCATTTTTGATTTTGATCTTTTGAAATATTAAAAAGTCAAATAAGAGGTGTTAAGCTTATTATCATTCTGGCGTCGAGCTATTTTTCCGCAGGACCCCCCTACAGTATCGTCACCGCAGTAGAGTTTAACCACCAAGTTCGGGATGGATTGGTGTGGTTCCTCTACGCCTAGGACACCATGGGCTTAGCAGTGTAGAGCCGTCAATGATCGGTGAACCGGCGGATCCGTTTGCAACTCCGTTGGAAATATTACCCGAATGGTACTTCTTTCCCGTATTTCAAATACTTCGCACAGTACCCAATAAGTTATTGGGTGTTCTTTTAATGGTTTCAGTACCACTAGGATTATTGACAGTACCTTTTTTGGAGAATGTCAATAAATT